ATGAAAATAGCTCGAAAATGATGATATGATGTATCAATAAATAACAACAGAGACTGAGATATGATATGTAGTAAAATGAATATGACTGAGTATGAATTTTCAATTCAAAATAAATAATTCACAGCAATATGACCTCTGTGGGTCCCAATAATACTGGCATATAGCCTCAACATGATTTTTAATATGATTCTCAACTCAATTTCTTTAACACATAAAACTACATAAAAAATGCCAAGATTATTTGACTAAAAAATTTCACGGAACCAATTACATCATAATTTCTATAGTGCACGCCCACACGCCCATCACCTAGCATGTGCGTCACCTCCAAACAATTCACATAATACGTATATTCAGGATTCATACCCTCAGCTCCAAGATTAGAAGAGTTACTTACCTCGAACAAGACGAATCCATTGTCGAGCAAGCTAAACAATGCTCCAGAAATCCCATTCTGCACGTATCAACTTCTGAACGGCTCGAATCTAGCCGCAATTAATTCGAATCAGTCAATACCAATTATTGTAATCAATTCCATAAGGAAATACTAATTTTTCAATAAAAATCCGAAATTAACTCAAACATCTCCCGTGCGTCCCACATCTCGGATCCCGACAAAAGTTACAAATTATGAACGCTCATTCAACCACGAGTCCAACCATACCAATTTTATCAAACTCCGACATCAACTCAACCCTCAAATCTTCAAATTAAAGTCTATGAAATTTTCTATCTTTTCAACCCAAAACACTTATATGTTGAAACAAAAACAATAGATTCGTATAATTTCACCAAAATTGAGTTAGAATCACTTACCCCAATCCATATGGTGAAAATCATCTTAAAAATCGCTTCAATCCGAACTCCATAGCTCCAAATGTGTTAAAATGGCCAAAACCTAAAACATTTAGCTTTTGTCCATGCATTTACTGTTCGCGATCACGGAAAATGCTTCGCGATCGCGAAGCACAAAAATTTCCAGCCCAAGATTTTCCTTTTGCGATCGCAGAAAACCACTCGCGATCGCGAAGAACAAACTCCCCAACTCTTCCAGACAGCCTCTAGTATAATGATCATAACATTTTGTACATAACTCCAAATAACAAATGGTTTGACTTTATGAGAACTAGACATCAATGGCTACAACTTTTATTTTTGGATCATCTCCAAATTCCTTATAGATTGCGAGATATAAGCTTCGAAAATCGGGTCAGTGCAGCAGAGATTTTGTTCTACGCGATCGCGAAAGAGCTTCCACGATCGCGATTCACATGGCCACAAACTGCTGTTTTCTCTTCGTGAACGCGAACAAATGTTCGCGATCGCGATGCACACCTCTATAGACAGAAACCAACAATTAAAAATGGTCTAGAAATGGTCTGAAACCACCCCGAAACTCACCCGAGCCCCTCGGGACCTCAACCAAATATACCAACAAGTCCTAAAACATCATACGGACTTAGTCGAAGCCTCAAATCACATCAAACAACGCTAAAACCATGAATCATGTCCCAATTCAAGCTTAATAAAACTAAGAAATTCCAACTTCTACATTCGATGCTGAAACCTATCGAATCAAGTTCGATTGACCTCAAATTTTGCACACAAGTCATAAATGACAAAATAAAACTATTCCAATTTCCAGAATCGGATTCTGACCCCGATATCAAAAAGTCAACTCCCCGGTCAATCTTCCCAAAAATTCAACTTTTGCCATTTCAAGCCTAATTCCACTACGGACCTCCAAATAATTTTTCGGACACACTCCTAAGTCCAAAATCGCCATACAGAGCTATTGGAATCATCAGAATTTAATTCCGAGGTCGTTTACACATAAGTGAATATCCGGTCAACCTTTCCAACTTAAATTTTTAATTATGAGACTAATTGTCTCATTTTACTCTAAAATCTTTCCGGACCCGAACCAACTAACCCGATAAGTCATAAATCAATTGTAAGGCATAAATTGAGTAGTAAATGGGGGAACGGGGTTGTAATACTCAAAACGACTGGTTGGGTCGTTACACGAAGTTCGCAATTGCGACACCTGAAGCTGGGTAAAAAATGGGTAAAACGGGACTTAACTCATTTTACACCATTTCTCAACTCTAAACACTTTAGAGGCGATTTTTCGAGAATTTGTTCTTCCCAAAATCATTGGTAAGAAACTCTAATCCATTTTATTTCAATTCTTCATTATTTTTCATCTGTTTTTAACATCAAATTTAGACCTCAAATTGAGGTCGAATTTCAAAACAAATCACATAACCGGGCTCAGGGGTGAATGGGTCATCGGGTTTTGGTACGAATCTCGAGTTTTGACCAAGAGGTTTTGTTGACTTTTTCCAATTTCATTAAAGATCAAATTATTTTCACTTGTGGGTAGTTTCTAAAGCTTATTTTGAATTATTTGAACGATATTTGGCTAGATTTGGTTGGTTTGGAGGCTTGTTCGAAAGGAAAAGCCATGGTTGATTGTTGAGTTGATTTCGCAAAGAGGTAAGTGTTGTATCTAACCTTGACTTGAGGGAATTAGGACTTGTTAGACTATGTGTTATGTGAATTATGTAGGGAAACAACGTATATGCAAGGTGACGAGTGTATATGCGTCGTCACGGGATTAAACATGCGGGATCGGTCTATTTACTTTCATGTTTTCATTTATTCCCTATTATCTCTTATTATATGCTTTAATTTCTACACATTCTTACTTGATATCTAAGCTTTACTTGTTAATTTTTATTTAATTGTTACTTGTTTTGATTTGTACATTTTCACTCAATATTTTCTTACTTGCTACATGTTCCTACTTGCCTTAATTGTATATTCTAAATGTCACATATTTTTACTTGCTTTTATTGTCTTTATATTACTTGATGCACTCTATTATGTTATTTCGATTACGTGAGACATTTAGCTATTCTTGTATTGATGAATCGTCAAGGTTTGGGATTACGAGATGTTGGATATTCTCCGTTTGAATTTGCACTTCTTTAATATTCCGCATATTTCCTTCTCTTTTGTGTTGATATCACGTAAAAGTGGTGTTGAGTTATTTATGTTAATAAATTAATATTGGAAGATCGGGTTACGCACTGCAACGGTACTGAAATAAATTAATATTGAGAAATCGGATTTCACGCTACAACGGAACGTGAAATATTATGATTTCATATTGGAAATGAGTTGTACATTGTATAAGATATTATGTTGAAACTTGGGAACAGGTTGCACGCTGCAACGGTCTTAGTGTGTTGTAGTTGTTTGTGGTTGTAGAGCTTATTCTCTATATTGTGATATGAGATTTGAGACTATGTTATTCTAAGGCCTTCTAGTAGTTGACCTTCGGGTCCGTTCATATGAGTTTACTTCTTTATTTCTATTCCTATTTTCTGTTATTATTATTTCGTACATGTTATTTGTGAGTGACTTGCCATAGCCTCATCACTACATAGTCGATGTTAGGCTCGGTACTTACAGAGTATATGGGGTCAGTTTTACTCATGCTACACTTCTACACTTCTTGTGCAGATACTGGTGTTGGTCCCAGCGGCGCATAGCGGAGACTATTCGAATTAAACTACTTTTGGAGACTTGAGGTAGAGCTACTGGCGTTCGCAGTCCCTGAAGTCCCCTTTTACCCTATCTTTATTGTTTTCCTTATTTCGAATAGTTGTAATTCGTTCAGACTTAGTTGTAGAATTCTAGTATGCTCATGTATTCTTGGCTCCATATTTTTGGAATATGTTTAAACTACGCTATGTTGTATTTATCACACCTATTTTAGACTAGTATAGCTTCGTATTATTAATGTTCTCTTTTAAATTGTTAAAACGGGTTAAGTAATTAGCTAACGTTGGCTTTCCTAGCTAGTGGGATGTTAGACTCATCACAGCCCTGAGGTTGGAATTTCGGGTCGTGACGTTGCCCCTATAGAAATGCTTTCTACATATGGAGATGAATACTAATCTAAGTTGTCTAAATGAACACTTAAGCAGAGCATTGGACAAAACTTAAGCAGGATATTTCTTCCTCAATCAGTAAACACACAACCAGGTAATTCATTCATAGAGGTTCAACAGAGGTCCGGTGTGTTATTACAGTTAGACAAATGCATCAGACTACATGGCAATCACTTCCATCACATAAACATGGTTTTTACATATAGAGAGCCTAAGTTATCAAAATTGGGAACTAGATAAACCTATGCCCAATTTCATGACAGTCACTTAAAAGTTGTCAAACTCATTGATTAGGAAGTAATGGTTCATGTTCAAGCTTCATAAGATATTCTACATCCAAACTGAAGGTTTTCAGGTTTAGACTTAGTTTCATAAGAGTCTTGTTAAACAGAGAACTAGAGAAAAGCTACTACATCCGTTCTAGTTTATGTGAACCTATTTCCTTTTTGGTTCGTTCCAAAAGGAATGACCCCTTTCTAAATTTGGAAACAATTTAGCTTAAACTTCCAATTCTACCCTTAACGAAAAGCTTTTATAACCACACAAATACTCTGGACCTCTTTTTGACTTGTTTAGGACCACAAATTCCAAAAGTCTTCATGTTTCTTAAACTTCGTGCCCAGTCAAACAGGTTCACATAAATTGAAACAAAGGAAGTAATAAAACAGGATAAGATGAACTTCATCATGTAATTTGGAACTTAAACAAGTAAGCCTTATAGACATGATATCTACAACAACAAAATAGCCTTATGATAATAGAGAATAACATTTATAGCTAATACTAATAAAGAAGAAAATAACTTAATTCAGAAGAGGTTTAATACACGAACAAAATAGTGCCAAAGTCATGCCAAATAGACAGATCCTACAACATGCTTCACAATCAAATTAAGCGAGTAAACTCTGAGAACGCAACTGCTAACATGAGTTTTTTTAACTAACATACACTATACCAATCAAACATGAGAACTATCGGATTTATTTGTCATGCACAGAAATTTGAACGTTGAAGTAAACGGAATGAAAGCATACTGACCTTCTTCAGGACAACAAACCAAGTATTGAACCTTAGCCATTCCGGAATCATCTCAAGAATGATCAACTCGACTAGAAAGAGAAAAGAAAGGACTGTGAGTAAAGAAACTAGAGATTTAAAGCCTTTTCAGTTAATTTTAGTGCATTTACTAGGCTATTGATTCATGGTTGTTGAGGCAATTAAAGCCCGATATTTATAGCCAAAAGTTGGGGCTTTAGGGTTTGAAATTTGGAGCTTCAGATTCGAACAAAAGATGAAAAGAAGCAGTGACGAAATTATGACGATAACTCATGATAAAATAAGGGGAATAGAGGTAAACAAATCAGAGGGAAAGGGGTGAAGACTTTTACCATCTCCTAAAATGATGAAAGAACTGGTCATTTGAAGCATTATCCGACCATAAATCTTTCTGATATAAGCTTTACACAGCGGGCTTTGAGTTTGACCTCTAGATCTTCAAAGATTATACTGAGGTCAAGGATTCTCTATAATTTTTGAGAATTTATCTCGATCTTGGGGTGCATGTGAGGCGATGATGAGAAATGAAGTGGTGCCAGTTGAAATCGACACTCTTTTGTGTTAGGGTTTCAAATCATACCATGAGAAAGGAGGTGATGAGAAAATGAAAACAATGGCGAGATTTGCGACTATGAGGAAAGTGAGGGATGATGAGGAAGGGAAAGGGGGCGGTTGGTGTAGTGGAGAGAATGAGAGAGATGGGAGAAAAGGGAAACGGTGGTCGTTGGATTATAATGATCTTACGGTTGTACTTAATGGGTAAATTAAAGGTTGAAATTTAGACAGTTAGATTAGGGCATGGACAGTCGAGATCGGTTGTGTTTGTTGTGTGAGAGTTTGGAGATGCTGACGTGGTGCATAGTGATTGGTGGAAATATAATGGTACGGATTGCCAAGTGAGAGGGATGTTAGGCTGATTGGACCGGGCCAGGGGTATTTTGGGCCAATTTTATTGGTGCTTTTGATAGAAATGGATGAAAATGAAATTAAATACATAGCCATCTTAATTGGATTTCAACAATTACAAGTATAGCCTATTGAGATTTTAACCTCCTTTTATCATAATTAATTTGGTTAAACTTCTTTAATCCCAATAAGGTATAATATGGTGTTATTAGTAAGTTAGTATATGTATATGTATTTGTAAGCTAATTTTATATAATAAAAAACATTTAATATCTTATAGTTATCTTAGAAATTACATAAAGGGCCGATGAACTAAAAATAGCAGTAATATAACCATAATGCTTGAGGTTAAATTACTACTATAATTATAGGCACATCATTAGAGTTAATAACTATTATTATATGTTTTAGAAAAATATGAAACATGTAATTTGAATATCAATGTTTTTAAATACTTTATTACGTCATTGTTGATCAAGAAGTGTAATAAATTGATTGAAAAAGGGAGGACCAAAATTGGTCGTCAACATTCCTCGTCAAGCATAAATATTTAAGGTAATATCAAGAAATATGGGAAGCACAAACAACATCAAGAAAGAGCGATTGAATATAGCTTGCCATTCAGGCAATATTCATTACTTTGCACCAATAGCCAAATCAACAATTCAATACTTTCATCACCCCTATATAACAACAAGCTTAACACGGCTACTAACACGAATGAAAACTGTCAAGAAGTCTTACAATCTAGAAAAAACATGAAAATCATAATACATGAAGCAAGAAGATGTAAATAACTAGTTCTATCTGCATGCTCTGCCCATAGCAAACTCATATACATCTGTTATCTTGCATATCGATGCTCCCAACACGTATAACACATAGCAATTAGACACAACTAAATCCTACTTCCCTCAAATCAAGGTTAAATAAGACATTTACTAATTTCTGACATAAATCAACCTTCAAACGTGGCTTTTTCTTTAGCACAAGCCTTCAAACCACTCGAATCTTGCCAATTAATATTCAAATTAGTCAAAACAAGCTTTAAAAACAATCATAGTATCAAAAAGGATCTATTTTTATCATATTTGAAAAAATCAATAAAAAGTCAATGGGGCTCACATAGTCGAAATATGAAATTAAGACTAATTTTCGTGTCCAATATCATGATTTGACCTCAAATTGAGGTCCAAATTCTAAAAATTAGTCCTCTTAAGTTTATTCCCAAAACTCCAATTTCTACTCTTTAAATTACAAGATTTAGGGAGAAATATCAATGGGTGTTCATGAAGATAAATTAAAACTAGGTTAAAATACTAACCAATAAAGTTGGGATAAAAATCTCTTCAAATATCTCCTCAATCAATGATCTAGATCTCAAAAATGGTGAAAATAATTAAATCCCGATTTTCAGCCCTTTACATACATGGGCGTCAGGTGCTCTTCGTGTTAGCGAAGGACCTGTCGCGTTTGTAAAGAACGTTGGTCATAGCGTTCACGAAGACATCATCCCCCAAGCCTCCACCTTCGCGATCTAACGGTCACGTTCGCGATGAAGAGCCATCAGTCAGCCTCCCCGAATTCCCATGCCTATATGTTTGCGTGAGGGTCACCGCATTTGCGAAGGCCTAGTCCCTCCAGGACCTTGCGTTCGCGAGCTTCCCTTCGCGTTCGTGATGTATAAACCACCCTTGCCCCAAAATTCCCATTCGCGATCTTGAAACTGGATTCACGATTGTGAAGAACTGTGAAACATCAAAAAACAAGCTAACTCTACAAGGCCAAAAGTGATCTGAAACTCACATACCCCTCCCCCTACCCTCCCCTCCCCCGGGGCCACTCCAAGCATCCACACAAGTATAATAATATCATACGAACTTGCTTGCGAGCTCAAAACATCAAAATAACATCCAAAATCAACAATCAAATATCAAAACTTAAAGATTTCAAAGTTCATAACTTTAATTTTTCAACTTTTCAAAATAGGTGCCGAAACGGCCTCGGGTCAATCAGGACCCCAACCAAACATGCATACAAGTCCAAAATTATCGTATAAACTTACTGGAATCGTCAAAATAGCGATCTGAGATCGTTTACCAACAATAGGGATCGTGGTCAATTCTAACCATTCTCAAGTTCAAAAATCAAGTTTTCTTTGAAAATCACATTTAAACTTTTCGAAAATCAAAACGTACAATGCACGCAAGTCATAAATCATCAAATAGTACTATCAAAGGTCTCTAATCATGAAATGAGGAGCTACAACTCAAAACGACCTATCGGGTCGCTACATTTTCTTAAAGGCCACAAATATGATTTATCATGTTCGTGTGTTGGTTGTGGTTTATCCTAAAGTTGTTGTTTCCCGTGCCACTCATATTCAGAGATGTATACTCAATCAAAAGTTGATTATGTAGTTTAACCTCCCTTTGTTTCTACTCTTGTATGAGAATTGAGAAAGCTTGTGCAATGCTATGTAAGGGATTCATCATCAGTATACTTCCTCTTACCACTGTATAAACTTCGTTTAGGCCCATTAAGAGTTGTATCAACCTTCTATCTTGCCCAGCCTTATGCATATTAGCATTGGCTCCCCATGTGCATTGACAACTACACTACGCATGTGCATTCAGCGTGTTTAATTCTTCCCATAGCGTTTTCATTTTTGTGTAATATCCAGTGATATCAAGGGTTCCTTGACTCAAATCATTGATCTCCTTTTTAAGATGGTATAATTTCGCACCATTCGTCTGATCATACTTATCCCCAGGCTCATGCCACATATCTTTGGCATCATTCACGTATTGCAAACTATCTTCTAGATCCTTTCAAAAGGAATTTAAGATCCATGAAGTCACTATATCATCGCATCGCTCTCACTAGTCAAATATTGCATGTCCAACTGTTGGCTTCTAACATTTTCCTATGATGAAACCAGCCTTAGTTTTCACTGAAATAGATCTAATTACACTTCTCCTCCAGGATCTATATCATGTACCATCAAATACTACAGGCAACAATACTGATCTGGCACTCTCCGATGGGTGCATGTAGTATCTAGGGCATCCTTGTTCCCAACACTATCCTTATCTCCATCCATTAATCAAGTTGTTAATCACAGAAGAAGTGATCAATCGATGAATCTAAAAGAGAGTCAAGAATCAGCTGCTAAATTGCAGAGAGAAATCACATAAAATATACGATTCTGAGGAAATCTCAGAGTAAATTGCCACAAACTACTAATCTCAGATAGAGATTACAGAAAAGTTACAACTTTTAACAAATCGCAAAGTGAATCACAATTTTGAAAAACCTAAATCCCCAATCCAAAATTGAACAACTTTAAAGACGAAAAAGAAGAGAATAATCGTTGTCCCGCCCCGTTTTCTCGCGAAAGCGGGATTCGGCGTTGTGACAACTCTTTTAAATGGGTTGTATTAAAAGAGGAGAGTCGCCACCTAACAATTTTTAAGGTGCATTAGGGCACCTATTATGCAGATAACTCTTTTGACTAGTCAACGCCACCAAAGATCGAGTAAGGGCTCAAATTACGTCAAAGAGAAGGTGTTAGGCACTCTTCGAGGTCCACAATTGTGGGTCCCAACCGAACTTAAAACTATGTGGATTATGATCAGGCAAGATGATCAAAGAGAATAAAAGGTGAAAGAGTTTTAGTATAACACAATGAGAATTGATAGAAATCTTAAGAGTTACAAAGATATAATTATAACGGTCTATATATAAAGAAAAGGAGGGGTCCTAAGTTTTTTAGCCTAAAGAATTACCCCGTGCAACATAAATAATACTTCGCAACTCCCTTGAGATAGGGAATTACTCATATTATTCAGCGGGCACAGACTATCATCTCCTGCTACCCGATTACTATGTTAAAGTTATTTACCTAAACTGAGCTAGTTCAATTCTAAGTCGTACCCTATGCGTGCTCTACATGTCCCATGCCTATGGTCGAGGAGGCATTGGACCTCTATTTGGGTGGTTCTAGACTTTACTTAGGCTGCTTAAAATGATAAAACTAAGAGACATACAAAACACGTAGGACTTCATATAAAGATAGTTAAAGGCTCAAGTTAGCCTCCACACTTAGACAACGAATGCATGCAAGCAGATTCAGTATTATGAATAAGCAGTTTCAGAGTTTAGGCAAATTAAAGTCATTAAGCCCCTATAGACATGGTTACTATGTGACTCTAAATTCCAGCATTATTGCTCTTAGTGGCTTAGGCGAAAGGAGCAGTAAACTATTTGTAAGCTTAGAGCTATTAGCGCCGATTTTATAGGTATGCATCTTAGGAAGGTGACATGGTCCTATAGGCATGATTTCTAACAGTGGCATAGTTAAGCAATGAAACCGTGTTTGAGAGTACAGCATTAACGTTGTTGATCTCATAACCATTTTAAGCGAGTGATAATACCATATAGACAGGATTTCTAACGATTGACAATGGAAACTGATTTTTTATACTTAGCCCCTATAGGCATATTTTCTAGGCGAGCAATATGATAACAATAGAAATAGCAAATTAGCCAATTAAAGTCCTATAGGCATGATTTCTAGATGAAGATCAGTAGAACATAACCTAGTATAATCCTATAGGCATAGTATCTAATGAATATGCTGCATATATACAAATTGAAGGAAAGTTTATTGGCATTTTGTTTCCTATAGGCATGTTGTCTAGTAACACATAGCAGTAGATATAGGAATAAATAAAGCACTTAAGCTCATGCGTTGATAGTAAACAAGTTGTATGAGTGCGTGATTCCACTAGTGGCATAATTTCTACTAGTGTACTTGGATATTA